TCCAGGGAAGTTGTCCACACCACTGTACCTTCTCCATTTTCCTCTCAGGAGTTTGGGCACATGCCCAGTGTATTTTTCAAGCTGCTGAGTCTGGGACTCGAACTATGAGGTCAGCCATGTGGGATTAGAGTGGGGCAGGGTAGAATGTTAGTAAGTAACAAGGGCCTCAACTAGTCAAGGATAGCAGAGCCAGAGTGGACGAGAAGGGAAACCTCGTGCTGGGAAGCGAGGGAGGAAAGGGAGAGAAGCCAAGGGCTCCCCCCGGAGTGGCTGCTCTGAGAGAAGCGGAGGTGCTGGGCACAGTGCAGGCCGGCTCAGGGATGTGTGGCTGTTGTTGCTGTTGTCGTTAGAGGAACTCTAGAAGACAGGCAGATTTCTGAGGGACGCTTGGAGGAAAACCAAATTTGCTTTGGGACAGCTTGCCTTGTCCTTTGCTTTTTGCCAGTCTTACTACATCTCTGGATTAAATGTAGTTAAGTTTATTGAGAAGTACTTATCAGTGACTTCTACCTTCAGGGAGCTAGCAAACTGTTAGCTGAAATTTTTGTAAATGTTATAGTCTCTTTGGTTCCATAGCAGGGTGGGGTGGGGGTGTTGATTCTGCTTTAGCAATTCCTTTCTGGAACAATCAACTGAAGTTTTTTCCCCCCTCTGATAGCCTCTACATCCAGATTTTCTGAGGGGAATCCAAACTGATTATAAAAAGAAAAGGCTTTTCTCCCCAACTGTGGCAGAGCCTGTGTTCTCACTCGGGGACACTGGGTACCAGGTCTTATAGTGATCTCGGGTTGACAGTACCGATAGCAAAGCACACACACATGGTCACACAAGTACTATTTCTGTTTTCTCAGATATACGTCAGCGGCTAGGAAAAAGACCATATTCTCCAGAGAAGGCGTTTAGTAGTAATCCAGTCGTTCGGAGAGAGCCCTCTTCTGATGTACATAGTAGGCTAGGAGTTCCCAGGCAAGACATTAAAGGCCTCTACTCTGATACTCGGGAGAAGAAATCGGGTATGTAACATTCGAAACTGATAGTAACGGAAATTGGGTAGGAACAGGGGATGGTGGATGTAGCGTAGAAACACTTTCTTAGCAGAAGGCAGAAAACAACTCTTGCCAAAAACTAAATGACTTTTTTCTTTCATTACAATTATTGTCATCATCATCATGATAATGCTAACAGTAGGAAAGTCAGGACATACTTTTCTAGGTTTTGTTTTTGATTTTTTGGTTTTGTTTTGTTTTTGTTTTTTGTTTTTTGTTTTTTGCTATAGGGCATGTGCTCTTGCCAGAAAGAGAGAGACAGAGAGACAGAAAGCAAGAAATCACCCCCCGGGCAGGTGGCCACACCACCATCCCTTTTCCTCCATTCTCCTCTTGGGATCTTGGGCACGCACGCACACGCTTGGCGTGAGTCCAAGCCACCGGGTCTGGGACTTGAACTGTGATCGACTACATGGGAGTCCAGTGACATAGCCATTATGCTAACTGCTGGTCCCTTTCTATGTTTTTCTATGTAAAAATGCATCATGACTTTACTAAGGACCCAGTAGTTTCATGTATACTAATTTCAGCCTATCTACATGCATACATATCCTACTTTTTCATGTAGTATTTTATTGTAGTTATTTTTCCACATTGTTATATTCTTCATAAATAAAACTTTTAATCGCATATTGTGGCTGTACCACAAAATTATAAACATGTATTTCTCTATTGTTAGATTTTAATATAACATTTTTAAAAAATAAACGGATAGTGGGCAGAATCTCTGAAATTGTGTAGTGCAGCAGGCCCATCAATTTGTAGAGTGTTAGAGCTGGAAAGGATCCAGGAATGGCCCCTTCCTGGCACAGTGACGTGGCACACAGGGTGAGGCAGATATAGGACAACGCTTCAGGTGATTCTGATGTGCTTTGTGCGGGGGCACCTGCACCAGCGATCAAACTCTCTTGTTGGAGAGGCCAGACCCCTCTGTTTGTAGGCAGGGGGCTGCAGCCATGGAAATGAAATTCCCCACCCAAGGCTGCATGGTGATTGCAGGGGTTTCAGACCACGGATACCTTCTGCACACCGAACGTGGGTAGAGCCCTGCTTCCTCCGTGCTACCCTGGTTCTCAGCATTGACCGCCAAACTGAAAAGCCTTTTCACCCAAACAGGTAGTTTATGGACTCGCTTAGGATCTGCACCCAAGACCAAAGAAAAGAATATGAAGAAAGTGGATCACAGGGCACTCGGCACTGAGGAAGATGACTCCGAGCTGCAAAGGGCGTGGGGGGCTCTGATTAAGGAGAAAGAACAATCTCGTCAAAAGAAGAGCCGGTTAGATAACTTACCATCTCTCCAGATTGAAGTTAGTCGGGAAAGCAGCTCTGGTTCAGAGGCAGAGTCCTGATGCCCCTGGGGCCTGTGGCAGCTGCCCTAAAGCCTGACATTCTTGCACAGGTTGGGCGCACAGTAGGAGCCTCCCCTGCAGGAGTTGGCACTCCTCTCATTCTTACTCATGCAGTCACCCTCTGCTCTTGCTACTTCAGCAAGACATCTTAAGAATGTGACGAGTTTTGAAGGGCATCTGTCTTTTGCTGCAGTTATAGTTCTGGGCCCTCAATTCTTTTCCCATCATCCCATAAGCTTTACCCTTTGAGGAAAAGGCAGCCCTCCAGATTTTGTAGACATTTTTCTTAATGTTTTTAACATTGTGTCTTTTAAAAGAAATGTTTTACACCGTTCATCCAAAGAGCAGAGAACTGAACTTCTCACTATTGCCTTGGCCCTGACAGCTGTTACCAGCACCCTTTTTCCAAGAAAAGTCAATTCCCAGGTGCTTATTGGACAGCCTTCGAGGGGGAAGATGAGGGAAGCTGCCCGCTCACTCTTCCTGGACCCTAGTGTGGGGGCCGAATCTCATGGACCTGCCTCGGAGGTGCACCAGTGCCACCCAGGTAGATAAGAGATGCAGCATCGATTGTGCTTCCGTCCCTCCATTGGGACTTCTGTTAGGGGCCTCTCTGAGCTGTCAGCTTGACGTGAAGATCGAGTTCAGTGCTGTGGGATTTTTAGGAACAAAAAACTGTGACTTTGAATTTGGGGTTGATTTTTGTGCTAGGGTTGGGGTTGTGGGTTAATGTTGAACAATTTTTAAGTCTGTATTATGTTTAAACAATATTAATGATTTAAAAGTTTAAATTTTTAATTTTTATATGTGGAAATTCTCCCTGTTGGCTACGGGGGGAGCTCAAGTGGTGTCTTATTTTGTGCTGTTAAATATATATTATATACTTTGGAAGAAGGCAAAGAGAGGAGTCTCTTTATTTTTAAATGATCCTACCTGTACAGTCTGTTGTACGTAGAGTTCAGCTCACTTTCCAGCCACCATAGGAAAACAACCCACCCATCCGCAGTGGGATCCTGTTGTTCGTTATCACTTTAAAAGTGATTCGTTGATATTTATTCTTTCTGTCTCCAACTTATGGCACCTGAAGACTTCTTTAAAACTGGCAAATAAGATATAGTTACCAAAACTTTGGGTTACTTTTAAACTCCTTTCATATTACTTTATCACAAAAAGGAGGTAGATTATTTTGTTTTCCTGTCTGATTCCCATTTTGAAGTATTTAATGTTGTGTTGCTCTACAGACTTAAAAGTGAGTTTTACTTCAGTTCACTAGAACTTGGGAGTTAGAGATGGTCATAAGTCTTTGTCCCTTTTGTGTTGTCACCATCCTTCACCTGTCCCGATGTTCTGCACTGGGTGCAACCTTGGGTCCTAGCGAGCTTTACTTGTGGCAAAGCTAATGACCACAGTGGTAGCTGATTATGCTGTGGTGCAAGTGGATGCAGAGCACACTCGTTAATAAAGAAAGGAAAGGCGGTGACACTTGGGAGTTGTAACAAAAACTTCCGTACTTTATTTTATTGGTTAATCTGCTTCTTCCTGCCTATAGAAAGATTAGAGCATTGCTAACTTAGTATGTTTCAACCTCCTACTCGGATTCTAGGAAAGCCACGGTTCTGGTTTTTCTACCAGCTGAGATCCAAGGTCTCTGGGACGTCTCAGCTTCTCGAGTCCTGTAAAACATATTGCTAAGAGCCAGGTTCTTAGGAGAAGTCAGAATTTGGGGAGTTGATACAGGGATAGTGCAAGGGCTTCAGAGTCAGAGACCTGGATGCCAGCCCCTGGCTCTGCGCCATGGACCTGGGCCTCCATTTCTCAGTGTAGCAACCGCACAGGCTGCTACCAGAGCTTCCGGCTTTGTGGGTGGGTCTCAACGTCTTCTCACCTTTCCCAAGTGGTGGCTGCTGTGCGCTGGTCAGCACTAGTTTCTATCGTAGGTAGGGGAAGGGTCAGGGAGAAAATACCCTATCCCCTTTCATTAGTTTCTGGTTCTGCTAATGGGAGGAAGATGTTCACGTGGTCAGGATCTCAACCAGCATGGTCTCTGTGGTTTAGAAAACGCCTCTTTGTAGACTTCTCTTTTTTTTTTTCCTCACTCATGACCCTTTCCCACCAGTAGTTTTGGCTCATTTGTCCCGTGGCTTTTTAGTACTCAGCATTCTCCTGCTAATGACCTCAAGGAAGACTTTCTGGAAGGGGAGTGTTGCACAATCAAACTGGGTCTTTGACAGGACCTAGGAAAGTGCCCACTTCAGCAGTGTTACCTATCTCATAAACGCAGAGAGAGAACCCAGAAAGGTAGCTGTAAAGACTTTAAGTTTTCCCAAAGGCGGCCTTATTAACCTCTCTCACTCTCCAGGCCCCACGCGAGCATTCAGACCTTTGATTTGGAATTTAGGAATGAGAAGGGACAGTCTTGAACAGCACCTTGGCAGGCAGCTTGGTATGCTTTTGTCCCCGGCACTCCTCATACAAATGGGCGGCTAGGGCTACTCACGTCTTTGCATCCGTCTTAGTTCTTTTTTTTTTTTCTTTTTTTTTTTGAGAGGTTTTTGCGATAGGGCATGCGTGCTCACCAGAAAGAGAGAGACAGAAAGCGAGGGGGCAGATGGCCACGCCACAATCCATTCTCCTCCATTTTCCTCTTGGGATCTTGGACACTCATGCACACGCGCCTGGCGTGAGTTTAAGCCACCAAGTCTGGGACCAGTTTAAGTCCCAAGGTCTGGGACTCGAACCATGATCAACTACATGGGAGTCCAGCGACATAGCCATTACGCTAACTGCTGGCCCCCTGCATCCCTCTTACTTCTTACATGTAGGAGATTTTAAATACATTTTTGCTGCTTAAATACTCATAGATACCTCACATTTCTGTTTCCCACTCTCCCTCTAGGGAGAGATATTTTAGAGATTTTTTTGCTATAGTACGCTGGTGCTCGCTAGAGAGACAAAGTAGAAATCACCCCCCTGGGGGGATGGCCATGCCACAATCCCTTCTCTTCCATTCTTCTCTTGGGATTTTGGGCACACACCCACACACGCGCGTGTGCCTGGCATGAGTTTTAAGCCTCTGGGTCCGGAATTCAAACTGTGGTTGACCACATGGGAGTCTAGCAATGTAACCATTACACCATCTGCTGGTCCCCAGCTCACATAATTAAAGTGTGCATATCAGTGGCTATTAGTGTGTTTGTAGGTTTGTGTAACTTTCACCATAGAACATTTTTATTACCAAGAAGAAACCTGTACCCATTGGCAGTTACTCCCCACGGGAATGACTCCCACTGACATAGTTCCCCAGCCCTCTCTCTGTCCTGCCTCAACCTTGCCTTCTTTTTTCTGCTCACCTTCAAGGTCTTAGGGGCCTCTCCAGAGGCGGTCCCCAACTTCAGAACTAGTGTTCTGCAGTGCTGCCGTGAAGAGATCTCAGCTTACTCTGGGGTTGGATTGTGAAGTCAGCACTTAGGATAAAATGGAATGTAATCAAAATTCCTCTTGAAAATCCCAAGGAAGGTGCACTGAAGACCAGCATCAGGAGGTCTGTGCAGTTGGTTCCTGCCCGTGTGAGAAGATTGTTGTTTCTTCGGTTGAGCACCAGGTGAAGCGGTTGGCCTGCAGTTAGGGCCACAGGGTCCAAAAGCTATCTAACCTTAGGTGTTAGAACCACTCTGAGGTGCGGTGCTCACTTTTGAGGTGCTCAGAACTGAGACAGGCCGCAGGAGAGAGAGGCATGAGCTGGCCACGCCCACCCTGGCTCACTGAGCGTAGGAGGGGCAGGTGGAATGGCCCAGATGATTTCCAGTTATTTTTCCTCGTACTTTTTTTTTGGGGGGGAGAAGACTGTGTTTAAATGAAATGTGCTTATAATGCTGAATCACTGTACCCCTACCCCAGCACACCTGTACACTGCACTGTTATTTCCTGTTTTTACTTTGTCTCTTTAGACTGTGCGCTCTATGAGGGCAAGGACCATGTCTGGTTTGTTCAGCCAGTTCCTCAGTGCCTGCTACCATGCCTGGCACCTACCTAGCAGGCCCTCCAAAACATAATGGATTTGCGAAGCCCCGTTGTCTAAGGCTCTGGGCCCTCTTCCAGGCTGGTCCTTGTTTTTCTGCCATGTACATACAACAGTTTATTTTCATGTTTGATTTTCCTTTTTAGCCTGTGAGCTCCCGACGAGCAGGCATCTTCGTGTTATCTCTATACCTTTCCGCCAGGCCAGCTCAGAGTAAGCATGCTTCAAAAGGGTTTGGGAAATGACTAATTCATGGTGACCCATCTCAGCTCTGTTGCCATTGTCTGTAGGCCAGTCTGACTCAGATGAGACCACCAGATTAGAAAAGAGGAAGGCTATTTTTTCTTATATATGTTATATGGTTATATAAGAAAAAATCTCATTAGGTAAGCCTCAGTAAACTTCAAACGGCCATATCTGAGCTGAAGCTTACCTAGGCCTGAAGAGAATTTGCTAGTTTAGACTTTTTTTTAAGAAAAGCATTCATCTGCTCTAGAGCAGGAGGAAGGGAAGCTGGCAGGAATGTGAGAGGCCCCAAAGAGGGACTGCTGAGCCAGTTCTGAGCTTCCAGTCCTGGTGGTGAGGAAAATGATGGGGTCCAAAGCAGGTGAAAGAAGCTCATCTCAGGCCACCTGCAGCTCCTTTGTGTAAAGCAACTCTCCTCCAACTTCCCACACGGAGCCTGTTAAAATTAGGATGAGATGCTGACCTGCTTGGATTTCCATCAACAGCAAATTGTAGCTTCTCAGATTCATCGCTGTACAGATACGTTTGATACATGAGTGTTTCATTTTATACTTTATGTAACAAGAAGTAAATGAAGTTAAACCCTTTTTTTTTTTTTTTTTTTTTTTTTTTTTTTTTTTTTTTTTTTTTTTTTTTACTTTTAATAACAGGAGAGAATGTTATTGATAATTTTGAGAATAGCACACTTGCGTCAAGGCAGTGTTTTTGCATATTCTAACCAACAATAAACATCTAGAACTTTTTTTTTCATGTTTACAAAATAAAACTTAGAAAATACCACAGCTTTTTCCCTGCAGTGAAACTCCATGCACATGTCCTAGAACTTTAGTGTTCCTGGGAGCAATGAGACAAGCGCTGCCTCAGAGGCTCTTTTGAATAGTCATGAGGCATTAAATGGGGTTTGCTGCACTATAAATAAAACTCTAGAGTATGAGTGGTGTTTAACGTACCAAAGTCACTACCCTGCCTCGATTCCATCTGCGTGAGCAATTCCAGAGGCCTTTTCTGCATGCCACATTCTTTTTTCTTTTTATTTTTTACTTTTTTTTTTTTTGAGAAGTTTTCGCTATAGGGCACGTGCGCTCACCAGACAGACAGAGAGAGACATAGAGACAAAAAGCGAGAAATCACCCCCCAGGGGGGATGGTCACGCCGCAATCCCTTCTCCATTCTCCTCTAGGGATCTTGAGCACGCATGCACATGCGCCCGGCGTGAGTTTTAAGCCACCAGGTCCGGGATGCAAACCGTGGTCGCCTACATGGGAGTCCAGCGACATAGCCATTAGTCTGTCTGCCTTTTTTTTTTTTATTATTATTATTGCCAGAGGGCATGTGCAGGAGCACTGGTGTGAGGGAGAGGTGGAGGGAGAGGTAAAGAGAGGGAGGGAGAGAGGGAGGAAGGGAGGGAGAAAGAGGGTCAAAGCACCCTCCAAAGGGTTGTAGTCATGCTATAAACTCTTCTTCATTTCTTCAGCTGTGAGGATTTGGGGCACGTGCACACATTCCTGGCATGTTTTCCAAGCCACCAGGGCTGGGATTTAAAGTGTGGTCGACCGTGGGGGATCCAGCCCCCCTAACCACTAGACCATAGGGGTGGCCCCAACTGTCAGCTTTTTATTTATTTTAATTTTTTGATAGTTCTTTTTGTTAAGAATTGTCTATTTAATTTTATTTATTGTTATTTTTATTTGTTACAGAGCAAGTACACTCACCAGAAACACAGAGAGATAGAGCAAGCTGCCAGGTCCAGGACTTGAACCACAGTTTGCCTTGTGGGAGTTTAGCACCTTAACCACCATACTACCTGGTGCCAACTTTTAAATGCTCACAAACCAAGGGATCTAAAGGCAGGAGCAGTAGTGGTAAAGAATCCTGGCTCTGGAGGAGACAGACCTGTTCCAGTCCTGATTCTGCCATTTACTAGCCACGTGTCTTTGGACAGAGTACGTCCCCTCTCTGCAGGAGCCAGCATCTCCGTCTGTGAAATCGGGGTAACTGTTGAGGGTGTGAGAGGATCGGATGAGGATCCGTGTGCGCCCTTGGCACCGAGTCTGTCGCCTTTCTGAGCAACTGGTCAGTGCTGGAACTTACTCTATACTCTCACGCCTCAGCTCTCCTGTGGGCCTGGGCTGCATGTCCTCACTCTTCCTAATTCATTCTTCCCAGCTTCTAGGGCAAGTGGGTGATTAAAAGTCTTATTTTAAAATAATTTCAAAATCACAGAACAGATTCAAGGGTAGAACAAAGAATGTCTTGCCATATTTTTTTGTTTGTTTGTTTGTTTGAGAGGTTTTTGCTATAGGGCACGTGCGCTCGCCAGACAGACAGAGACATAGAGACAGAAAGCGAGAAATCACCCCCCCCCCCCGAGGGGATGGTCACGCTGCAATCCCTTCTCCTCCATTCTCCTCTCGGGATCTTGGGCATGCACGCACACGCGCCCGGCGTGAGTTCTAAGCCACTGGGTCCAGGACGCGAACTGCGGTTGACTACATGGGAATCCAGCGACATAGCCATTACGCTAACTGCTGGTTCCCCGTTTTGCCATGTTTTATCATTCATTCTTTCCCTCGTCTCCTCTCTAAACTCTTTCTTTACCTCCTCTTTGAAACATTAACTGTTTGAGAGTTATTTGCATGCATAATGCCTCTTTCATCCTGAAATGTCTTAGTGTAGCTTTCCTAAGAACAAGGACATCTTATGTCCATAGTAGTCAAATTCAGGAAAGATGTCATCTTATGTGATCAGTAACCTGGGTGCTCATTTGTACTTCACGTTTTAACTTTACCAACTGTCTCAACATTGGTTTCTCTTTTTTTTTTTTGAGAGATTTTTGCTATAGGGTGTGTGTGCTCACCAGAGACAGAGAGAGACAGAGACAGAAAAAGTGAGAAATCACCATCCTGGGGGAAAGGCCACACCACAGTCCCTTATCTTGAGATTTGGGGCACACACATATGTACGCTGTGTGAGTTTCAAGCTGCCAGGTCCAGGACTCGAACCATGTGGCAGTCAGCCCCATGGGAGTCCAGCACCCCAACCACTATGCCACCTGCTGGCCCCCCAGTATTGGTTTTTACAGCAACCTTTTTGGGGGCTAGGATCCAATCCGGGATCAAGCACTGCTTTCACTTCCCCTGTTTCAGTCTCTTTTAATCTGGGGTAATTCCTCAGCATTTTACTAAAGTCTTTGATGTGATGACATTGACGATTTTGAAGACTAAAGTCCAGTTTATATTGTAGAATACCCCTCAGGTTGGTCTCTTAACATTTGTCTAAGGTGAAATGGGTAGGAACACACTTTCACGTTGTTCAGTTAAGTGTGTATTTGCTGAGCTCCCAGCCTGTACTAGGCTGTGTGTGGGAGTGCAGTGAATAAAAGCCTGGCTCCTGACTTTGGGGCCTTCTGTGTGGGTTTGTGGGGAAAGCAGCTGCCATCGGGTGGGCTTAATGGGCCTCTGTATGTGGTCATGACTAGAGGCACTGACAAGCTTGGATAAATACATCTCAGGTGGATACAGGATGAGTCAACCTTCTAGATCTACAGAGATGCAGAAATGGCCCTGCTCCCTACCCAGTATCCAGCCGTCGATTTGCCTGGCCTCCTGAAGTACCCTGAAGTCGACACTCCAAAGGCGAAGTCTTGTTACCTCAAGAAATCTCAAGTGATCCACAGTCTTGGGTTCCAGCCCTGCCCTACCAAGGATCTGCTCTGTGACTTTGGGTGACTCTTCCGCCCTCTTGGCCAGTGCTGGGAAGAGAGTCCTCTTGTGGCTCTTTACTAAATACCCTGGGAACTCTGAATGAATTAGGGGCAGGAGGACAGTCACTGAGCTCCAGAGTGGTGGGAAGTCAGGCTGGGGCCGGTCCCGACCCAGCCTGGGACAAGATTAAGCAAACCTAGAATGGCCTTCATCGTGATCTGGCAGGAAAGTCATCAGACCTGGAACCTCTTTGGCTTCTCTGCTGGGTGGTTATACAGCGTGAAAAATGGTGACTTGTGATCTCAACTCAGCCGTGTAAGATCTAGTCCTAAGTGTTGTCAGACCAAAGCAGACAATGCAAAAATGTTGGAAGTATCATCAGATCTTTACACCAAGCAGGCTTTCAGTGTGAGAAACAAAATAAAATTGATTTTCATCTAGTCACTTAGTTACCATTGTCCACTTTATATTAACACTTCAAAATGCTGTCCTTGGGGGCTACAGACAAGCATGTGAGAGAGACATGTAATCCCCTGCCTTTCTGCATTTAAATTAAGATGAAATAAAATGTAAAGTTGAGCTCCTCAGTTGCTCTGGTGCCATTTTAAGGGCCTTGTAGACACCTGTGGCTGATGACTACAGTACTGGTCTGTGCAGATCTAGAACAGAGCCATTCCTGCAGAGTGCTGTTGGACAGCACTGCTCCACTGTCCAACCACCTGGGAAGCAGAGGTGATGCCCTTCTGTGACAAAGACGTGGCCACACAGGGCAAATCTGACAGATTGTGGTTAGTACTTCAATATGACTGCAAACTCTGCTGCTCTGGAATGCTGCAGTGGATCAGAGTATGCGGAAGGACTTACAGCATTTTACCTCTTCTGCTCTTCTCATGACTCAGAGTCCCAGTAAGTCATTGTCAACATCTGGGTGCTATAGCCAGATTTTTTTTTCCTTAGGTTTTTGCCAGATGGTGTGTGCACTCGCTGGAGAGAGAGAAAGAGAGAAAGAGAGAAATCACACCCATATGCACCTCCAGGGGGAATGGTTGCACTACAGTTTCTCATCCATTCTCAGGATTTGGGGCATACATGCACATGCACCCAGTGTGATTTTCAAGCCACCAGATCTGGGACTCAAACTGTGGTCAGCCATGTGGGAATCCACAGTGCCTTAATTAACTACCGTGCCACCTATTGGCCTCAGAAGCCAGTTTTTGTTTGTTTGATTTTTATTAAAGATCATCATTAATTGTAAATTGCCAGAGAATATATACCTTTGCCAGAGAGAGGGATAAAGCATCTCCCAGTGGGGTGTGGTCATGCCACAATCCTTTCTCCATTTCTCCATCCTGTTGGGACTTGGGACATACATACATATATGACTAATATGTTTTTCAAGCCTCTAGGATTGGTGTTCAGATCATGGCCAGTCATGTGGGATCTGGCTCCCTTAACCATTAGGCTAAGGGGCCTGGCCCCGGAGCCAGATTTTAGAGAATCCAGCCAGAGTTGGATTGGGGTGGTAGTTTCAGTTAGTGCATTGCGTCTTCTCACTTGGCCTCTATAGCTCTAGGGTCTTGAGTGTAAGGCCTTTGCTCAATAAAAGAGGGCTGTTTCTGGGGCAGAGGAGGCCCAGTCTCACTTTGGAGGCAACCACCACTGATGGCCCTGCACTGGAAGCCAGATTCCTGGTGACGACTTCTGTGGCAGGACAGGGGCCTGGGACTCACTCTCCTGGGTGATACAGACTATCGGCTGGACTAATATTGCTCCTGCAGGTCAGCCAGGTGGCTGGACCTCACATGGCCAGCGACGTGGTTTGAGCCCCAGTCCAGCGGCTTGATAAACACACCAGGCATATGTGCATGCCTGCCCAAAATTTTGAGAGGAGAATGGAGAAGGGAATGCAGCATGGCCACCCCTACCTCCTTGGAAGTGCTTTCTCATTTTCTATGTCTTTCTCTCTGTGTCTGACTCCAGCGAGCACACTATAGCAAATTTTAAAAAAATACACACACACACACACACACACACACACACATATAGGACTAGCAGGTGGTGTGGTAGTTAAAGCACTGGATCCCATGTCCAACGTGGTTTGAGTCCCAGACCCTGTGGCTTGAAAAACATGCTGGATGCATGTGCACATGTGCCCACAAAATCCCAAAAGGGGAATGGAGGTGAAGGGATTGCAGTGTGGCCATCCCCTCGGGGGTGCGGGGAGGCAGATAATTTCTCACTTTCCCTCTCTCTCTCTCTAGTGAGCTCATAAGCCCTATGGCACAAATCTTAAAAAAAAAAACAAAAAACCACACACACACACACACACACACACACATGGCTCCTGCACCTCCAACATGAGCTGCTGAGAGCACCAGAACTGTGGCCCTGGGCAAACCTCTGCTCACCACTCCACAACAGTGCGTGAAAGGGTGACTGAAGGAGTGGGTTAACAGGTGTCGCCAGGCTCCCAGGACCCAGCCCCCAATTGCTGAGGAAAGCCACGTGACTGACTATGTGTAAGTGGGAGTGTCTGTCTACTTAAAAGTGCCTATCTGTGGGTCCTGGCCTCCCTGTGTGCCTCTGTCCCCGCCTCCTGGCCTCCCAAGCTGAGGAGGGGAACTGAGTGGCTGAGACCGCCTGCAGCTGCCAGCTCGGCCACACACAGCTGCTTCTGCTCCAGCTAGGATGTGGCTCCTCCACGCTCTCCTCTGCATGACCAGTAAGTCAGCCTCACCTGCCCCCAGGCTGCTGTGCCCTCAGCTCCACTGGGATGTCTGCAGAGCACAGCCTTGTCTGTCTGCTGGGAAGGCTTAGGGCCAGAGACTGCGCTTCTCCAGGGAGGTGTTCTGTCTCGTGGGTCAGAGCTCCAGGCTTGTTGGGAAGGCCTTTCTGAAGCCGTGGTGGCATTGCTGACAGCCTGTGGCTTTAAACCCCAGTCTCCACCACCCCGTTCCTCCTCCAAGCCTCCTCTCTCCCACCCAGCCCTCTGCCCTTGGCACCCACTTGGACAGGTCCTCGGGTATGTGTCGTTTGTTCTCAGAGCATGGAGGTTAATGTGGCTCACTCCACCCAGCAGAGCACCCGTCTGTTACAGAGCAGGGGTTCAGCTGATGAGAGTGAGGACCCTGTGTCTGCATGGTAGAGGGTGAGCATGTTGGGGGGAGCCTGCTTCCTGTTCCTGTTGTTTGGGCCAGTGTGAGTACCGGTATGTCAGTGGAAGGGGCACTTCTGCTGCTGCATGGTGGTCCCTTCTGGCTTTTCAACTTCCCGTGGAAGCCTCTCTGGGCAAGTCCAGTTCTGAGCCTGCCCACAAGAGCTACGGGAAGAGACAGAGCATGGTCAAGGAGGCTTCGAGGCTGTGCAGGTCAAGCCTGAGGCCAGGTGGTCCCGCCTGGGGATCTGGCAGACTTCCCGGGGTCTCCAGTCCTGACCAGAAGCTTGGCAGAGGAATTAGATGGGCATCAGGTGTATCTTGTTTAAAGGTTCCTGGGAGCCTGAGTCCTCCTTGAAGGATGGGCTGGAGCCGGTGGGCACCTGTGTCTGAGAGAGCCGGGTCCGTGCTGGGAAGGGACTCGGGGTTAGCAAATCCACCATGAGGTCAGATCACCCAGAAGCTGGCCAAAACATGCCTAGGACACCAACCAAGTTCATGCTTTGAGACAGATTTTAACATTTGGCATTTCAGAAACATCATGGAAAGATCAAAACCTCATTCCATTTCCTTTTCCTTATTTTACCATTTAGACTTTTCTTTATTTTCAGTTACCATGGGATGTGAAAAGGGTCTCGCTCTTTTTATGGAGGTGCTTAGACTTGACTCTGGCCCACCCTCTCCCAGGGCAGAGGAGGAGACGGAAGCCCAGAGACAGGCAGTGGACGTTGAGGGTTGTGAGCAGGTGCCAGCAGAGATGGGACTCAAGCCGGCCTCCGTTCTACCTCCCAGCTCTAGAATGCTCCATGGCCCGGGACACAAGCCCTGGCGTCACGGGGCTCCTGTAGCCTCTAGGACAATCACCCATTACCTCAGCGCCTGTCTCAGCAGCTGACACAGGGAACCCTTTCTGAGGCCTAGGCACTTGCCAAGCCGATGGACAGCAGACAGCGACATGGAGAAGACTCGGCAGGGAGACCACACAGCCTGCATCTTGGCTAAGCTGTGGGGACAGGGTGAGAGTGGGATCCCGTAGCTCTAGTCCAGGTGGTTGAAATGAGGCTGACTGTTCCGCTCCACTTGGGGATGGGCAAGTCCTGGAGAGCTTCCTGGAGGAGGTAAGACTGGTGCTGACTCTCAGGGGCAGTTGAGAGTCTGAGAAAATGGCAAGAAAGAATCAAGGAGCGTGGGCAGAGCCTCTTAGACTGCAACCGCAGGCCCAGGAGTATGAATCCTGTGATGGCTGGGCCTCCCGAGGCTGGAGAACTGTCCCTGCCCTGTCTCTGACCTCCCACCTTCCTTGCCACTCACCCTGACGTCCACAGCTGTCATCCCTGGGAGCAGGTGAGATTTTAGAAAGGAGAATCAGGCCCAGACACACGGACACACCGAAACCCTGGAATTGCCCACAGCCCGGCCCCCAGTCCCATCACCTGCTGCTGCCGTATAGCCCACTGTCCCCAGGTCATTCTTTAATTCTGAACTCATTCCGTGACCACAGCAGCTCACTTCTCCATTCAGGGTCTGAAAGGTTAGGCCTACATCCCTCACGGTGTGCAGAAGGAAGCTGCTCTCAGCACACACGACTTACAGGGGTGAAGAAGCAGGAGCCGGCAGTCAGCTTGCTCTGCCGATGCCACAAGCCCAGGCTGAGGCCCTGCTAGGAGAGGGGGAGGGCGGCAGACCCCGCTCTGTCTGGGGCACAGGTCTGGACTGTGTGTAGGTGTGTGATAGAAGATGCCAGTCCTTAGTGGGGGTGGGGACAGTGCTGCCGAGTGGGCCCTGAGGTTGGGGGGGTCTTCAACGAGTTCAGACTGGTGGGAAGAGGGGCCTTCCCTGCAGGGAAACAGACCAAGACGTGGGGGCGGGAGGAGTGTGGGTTTTAGAAGGTGAAAGGTGAGGTTTGAGAGGGAGCAGAAAGCTGCCTGCCCACCCCACCCCAGAGTAGGACGTGCTGGGCCCTGATGATGAGGGCAGAGGGGAGGCGCCGTCCCTGTCCTGGGGTCCCTGTGGAGAGAAAGACCACACGCAGTCACTTCTCGGGCCCCAGCCGGAGCGGACACCTTTACGTCTCGTGACAAGGGAGTGGGGAAGGGCGCTGCAGGCAGAGGGCACAGCTCACGCCGAGGTAGAATGTCAGGGAGATGCAGTGTCGGGGCACCAGGCAGGCAGGCAGCAGCCCCGTGGGACCCCGACGTGTCTGCCCTTCCCTGGCAAGCCGGCTTGTATGGGCCGTGCATGGGCCAAGTGTGGGGCGTGTCCAGGTATATGTGGTAAGCACGGGGTATATCAGGGGTGTATAGGCCATGGTGTATGTCTGGGGTGATTATGGGATGTGTGTGGCGTGTAGGGTGTTTATGGGGTGTATGGGGCCTGTATGCGGTGTGCATCCTGGATTCAGAGAGTGTGTGCATGTGTGTGTCGTATATGGGAGGTGTAGGGCGTTTATGGGGTGTGGGGCATGTGTGGAGTGTGGAGCATGTGTGGGGTGTGTACGCTGCATTAGAGGGTGTGTAATGTGTGTCTGGCGTGGGTATGGTGTATGTCGGTCAGTATGGGATGTATGGGTTGTGTGTGGTGTGTAGGGTGTTCGCGGTGTGAATTGGGGCATGTGTGGGGTGTGTACGCTGCATTAGAGGGTGTGTAATGTGTGTCTGGCGTGGGTATGGTGTATGTCGGTCAGTATGGGATGTATGGGTTGTGTGTGGTGTGTAGGGTGTTCGCGGTGTGAATTGGGGCATGTGTGGGGTGTGTACGCTGCATTAGAGGGTGTGTAATGTGTGTCTGGCGTGGGTATGGTGTATGTCGGTCAGTATGGGATGTATGGGTTGTGTGTGGTGTGTAGGGTGTTCGCGGTGTGAATTGGGGCATGTGTGGGGTGTGTATGCTGCATGCAGAGTGCACACGGTGCGTGTGGGGCGTGGGGTATGTGTGGGCGGTACAGTGTCCGGCACGTATGGGGCATGTACGGCTTGCAGGGCGTGTATGGAGACTTAGGGGCAGCCTGCCCTGGGCGGCCTGTAATGAAGCGGTAAGGGACGTGGCGGGCCCAGAGTGTCAGGTTCAGGAGCTTGGACATCGCTGAGTGGGCCACAAAAGCCACAGAAGGTCTTGTGCAGGACAGTGACAGCCATGTGTTGTGTGGAAGGAGGAGTCAGGAAGGAGGCTCTGCCGGGGTCCAGTCCCTGTGTTGGGGAGGGCAAGCACAGGGAGGAGGAGCCTCGAGAAGCATTTAGAAAGAAATCGGGAGACCTACCAGTGTGTCGCGAAGCCTAGCACACCTGGTGCTCAAGGCCTGCTGGCCATTCGTGGTGTTAGGTGGACAGTGCATGGGGAGGTGAGGAGGGCTCAGGCGGCTGTGTGGGGGGGAATGCGATGACGAGGCTCCAGGTAGAAGACCTAAGTGGCTGGGCCAAGGGTGTGCATTTCGAGCTGCTCCCAGGACAGGAGCTCTGCAAGTGTTCTGAGGCCTGATCCTCCCACAAGGCCTGAGGGTTCTGGGCCGGGCATCAGGACACCTGAGTCTAGGTCAAGTCTTCAGCCGGACCTTTGTGTAAATGTGGGCAAACCAAGCCCAAGTGCCAGTGCATTGGGTAGATGGAGGTCGGGGTGGAGGCGGTGGTGGCGACAGGATGGTGGGAGGGTCTAGTCTGACTCAGCGAGACTTTGTGGCTGAGGACAGCTCAGGAGAGGCAGCCCTGTGGGTATTGTGGTGACTGACGCTTGTCAACTGGGCTCCCAGGTTGGATAGCATGTGAGGGGGGCTGAGGCGGAGGGCAAGGCCATGAGAGGATGTGGCAGGCCCTCCCCCTGAGTCTCCCCTCTAGCACCCGCATCCCCTGCTGCTCTCAGTGCGTCAGACACTGGGCAGGCACCTCCCCGGCTGATCTGCACAATGACATATGTTGGATGGAGGTAGCCGAAGTGAGGGAAGCCCGCAGTCTTTCCATAACTCCATGGCAAAGCACAGACTTGGTCTCAAGACTGCCTCCCTTGGGGGTCCTTCCCTCTCATAGGGAGGGTTATTGACCTAGGGACAGGCCGAGCAAAGGAGAGATGCCAGGGGCCTGGAGGGAGCCTGCTTGAACAAGATGGACCAGGCCTGGAAGATCCCAGGCACCAGCTGGCTCTCAGGGAAATCTCAGCAAATGCAGTGACCACCCCCCCACCACACATGTACACACACGTGCATGTGTGCACATGCACGCACACACATGCGTGGATGCTCCTGCCACTGCCTTACTGGAAGTTCTTGTTGGACTTAATGTTGAGCTCTGCCCCAGCTCAGTGGGCTACTTGCGCAGCGAAGCCACACCCAGCACAAGCAGTGCCCAGCTTCTGGGGGCCGTGTGTGACCCTCCTTTCTCTTTTACCAACCCTTCAGTGCCTCCAGCTTTTACTACAGGCTTGAGAAGCAGGCAGACCTGGGCACAGACACAAATACTCAGTTTCCTGTTGACCACGAGCCAGTCACTCAACCTCTCTGAGCCTCAGCACATCACAGGGGGCCTGGAAGACGCAGGTGCTCCAGGAGGCTGGCCTCAAGCATCTCTGCTCATCAACCCTTC